ACATTTACAAGTATGTACTGTATTTACAGTACAGTACATGCATTCGTAAATTTAGATTACTTTTTTCTGTACTCTATTAAAAACTAAAATTTATTTGTTTGTAAGCTTAAAATAGATTCTTATTAACCATATATTATTAAAAATGCATTAATAAATAAAATACAGAACAGGGAATAGTAATTTATAGTTTAGCCTAGTGACAAGTAGATTCATAGACAAGTAAATTTGACTTAAGTTGTTTTCCTGGAACCAATTACCGACGTAAGCGAGGTATACCTGTAAAGCAACTAACTTCTCACATTGGAAATCCATGCCAAGAATAAGCAAAGTGAACTTAAAAGAAACAAAAATCATCTATACTTTCTATATCAGTGCTTCTCAAAGTGGGCAATATCACCCCTGGGGCATTTTAATTATCCAAGGAGGCATTAGGCATAATAGAAGAGCCCATGTACACAGAACAGAACATGTACTAACAGTCACAACCAAGGGGCAGTGATCCAAAAAAGTTTGAGAAGCACTATTCTATATCATCACAAACTTTTTTAACACAAACAAAATTACTTGACAAATTCACACAAAAATACTCACATCTACTACACAGCAAATAAGAAAATTGATCAGAAAAGAAAAATTATAACAACCTTATTCCACAAACAACACTTAAACATATCAAAAAACTTACAAAAGAAATACAACATACAAAATCATTCAATCACATGAAAGATCAGACACTCATTGATAATAAATGTGCAGAATATGTCCAATTGCACAAACAAGGTTGAAGGAAATTAAAGCAGTACAGGGAATTTGTGGTAGAAAAAATATGACAACAGCCACAAAAAGATGTAGCAGCATCTCAGTTAAACGTATAGACATTAATCAGGAAAATCTTCCAAAATGCAGAGATTTGGTATTTTAAAAGTGAAATGGAAATGCTGTTTCTGATCAGTCCAATCACTTTGTTGCCTACTTACATTGATTGTGTGCTTGCAGTAAGAATGAGTCTGTCTTTCTTACAGAACTACAGTTTCAATTTTTATGATAAACCAAAAACAAAAGAGCTTTAAAAAGAACCAAAAAAGAAAATTCATTTTCATTTTAACACTCTTTGATACTATTCAATGAATAAAATATTGTGTAGGCTTAATTAAAATGAAATATTCATTGTTCCCCACACAGAAAATTCAAAAATTAATAAACTGCATTTAACAACAACTCGTATCTATAAACCTTTTACCAGTACGTGTATCATCACAGTTTACAACAGTTACAAACATTTTCGAACTGTTACAGTTCTTCTTCAGGTAACGATCCTCTAACGGAATGGGATTCAAAGTTGTTACGAAATACGATCTGGAACGATGTCCCGACCCGATGACTCACCACGGACTTGCATGTTATGCATGGTGTGCTTTATCTTAAAGATTTATCTATCAGGGCCTGCCAGGCCGTTGATAGAGTGATTTCATCCTTGTAGTTAATGCAACTACGTTCTTCACTCGTGTTTAAGCATATGTAGATCGCCTCCAGCCATCTGAGTTGGTTCGTACAGTTGGGGTGTGAATGACCTTTGCTTGAGAGAATATGGGTTCTATGTCAGGGTCCGACTAGTATATGGCAAGAGCTGTGTTGGTTCTTTCATGGTTGATATCCGCTTTATGCTCTTTGATCTGGGTTACTAGGGGGCGTTTAGTTGATCCTATGTAAATCATGTTTCTATCACACCTGTGATCAATGGTAGGAGATGGTGTAGACATCAGGGAGCTTATTTCGGTGTGGGGTGTCTTTTCTGTTCCTTAACAAATCAAAAATCGTAGTGCGTCTTCTAAATGTAATATGGATATTCTTTTTCTTAGCTATTTCCTTGTATATGAATTTTAGTACCGGATTATATGTGATAGGGATGTTGCTACTAGAAGAGTTGTGTTGAGAGTTGGTGACGATTTGCTTCCTGCTGCATTTTTACGTTCAGTTTATTTATGAGCCCATGGTAGCCGTGCTGTTTGGCTATATCCTCTATGCGTTTCATTTCGGACCTGAGTGCCACTTGGGACGAGTAGTGTGTATGTGCCCTCCTGATCAAGGCTTTGAACACTTTGTATTGTGGAGGATCACATGACGCTGCTGGTATGTATAACCAAGCTGAGGTCGATTTGCGATAAACTGCTGGGTGGACGGTTGCGCTTTCAATCTTAATGTTAATGTCCAGGAAGTGCGCCTCTGTGGGATATGTCTGGTCTATTTCTATAGTTAAGCCATACAGGTTGTTATTGATATCCTAGACTAGTGCATTAATGTTCGGCTCGTCTTTCCATAGGATTAGGATATCATCAATCTAGCGTTTATATATTAGGATGCTAGGGAGATATTTTGGGAGAAATTCCGATTCCAGTTTCTTCACTACCATTTCACACAAGTCTCCTGTAATGGGGCTGCCCATTGGGACTCCTCTTTGTTGTTCATACGTAATTCCTTTGAACTGGAAGGAGTTGTGACACAGCAGATGCGCCACTGTGTTACAAAGTGTGGGGATACAGTGCAATCAAAAAGACACCAGAGTTTCTGCTATTCAGCTGTAGTGCAAAGTAATCTTTTTGCCACCAAAGATCCTTTGTATTTATGTACATGACTAAAACATTATTTAATTTGTATTCATTCCATTTCTTATTATGTTCCATATTTGAGCATCAGTCTGCCAAGTAAAGTTTTTCAAACTAGAATGCTTGCTACATGCAATTTTGTAACATTGTGTTAATGTTACGCTAAGGCTCAAGAATAAACTTGAGTCGCAAAGAGCTAACATTAAATTTTGCATTAAACATGGAAAATCTGCCACTTAAACCACTGAAATGCTGCAGGAAATCTATGTCAACTAAGCCCCGAACAAAACCATAATCTCACGTTGCAAGAAGGCAAGGCAAAGTTGATGCAACAAAGAGATCATTTTTATTCTAAGAGGATAATGTACCAGAAATTCATTCCTCCCAGTCAGACAGTAAATTCATTTTGAGGTAATTGCACAAAGTTTGTTGCAAAAGACCAAACTGTAGTGCAACCAAACCCAGCTGCATTGGGATAACACTTCTGCATGACAGTCTTCAAAACAAGTGTTTTTTGCAAAAAAACACTTGTTTTGAGACAAATAAGAGATGTTGAGGTCATTCTTGTTCTTCGAAATAAAAATGAAGCTCAAGCAGCATTTCAATATGATCAAGATCCAAATCCAAATGGATGCTGTAGAATTTTTTAAACGATGACTTCTGAGGAGCATCCAAGGCCCGGCAGAAGCATCATACAAATGCAGGGGGTATTACTTCGCAAGGTACAACAGTCAGATTTAAGTCAGTTAAATATTAAATTCTTTATAAGCCAAATCTGGATTATTTTCGATGGCATCTCGTAGTCTTTCTGTCATTTTACTCTTCTCTCCAAGTCCGAAAACCCATCAAGCGGCCATGCAAGCAAAGCACGAAAGGGCACGGGTTGCGAGAGCATTCAAGACAGCCAAAACGGCACCGAAAACTGAAAGTGACATCGTCCGCTGTCCACGAAAGGGAGAAGCAAATTGGAAGGTGCTCAGAGTTGTCGCGACTCTGAGTGCCCGGAGGCATCCAACAAAACCGACCGACCAGAAAAAATTTGGTCCAATACTTACATATGACAAGGGCTGCGAAGAGTCTGACGGCACTGGCCGGAGGCAAACAGTTGCTGAAGAGAGGTTCCAGTATGTAGTTGGCAAAAGTCAGGGCCGCAATGGCATTGGCTGTCGGCATGATAATCAGAATGGCCACCCACAGAAACAGAAACGCGGGCAAAGGGCCGAATGCCTCGTAAATATAGGCATAGTCACCACCCGATTTCGGGATGGAAGTACCGAGTTCGGCATAGCATAAAGCTCCAAGCATGGAGAGAACGCCACACAACGTCCAGACTATTATGGCAAGTCCTATGGATCCAGCTTCTTGCAAAACACCTCGCGGCGAGACGAAGATACCGGATCCTATGATAATTCCAACGATCATGGCCACGCTGTTCAGAAGTCCTATTTCCTTTTTCAACTGAACGCTTTCTTCATTTCGATCCTTCATGGGTTGTTTTTCCGGTAGCCGATAGGAATCCATCGCATTACCAAAAGTGTGATAAACTTTTCTTTCGCCTAAACCGAGAAGCGAAGGTCTGTCTCTATCATCCCAGTTATCCAGGGCATCATCTGACTCGGAAACACGCCGGGATTGCATCACCTTATCGGAGAAGCGAAGACAGCGCCGGATACGTGTGTGGCAAAACCTGTAATTAAAAACTAAACTTTAAAATGCGCCGGTATTTATGCGTTAATCGTTTCGCGTCGTTTGGCGAAGTACAAATACGGAAATAACAATTTTACAAAATTATTCGAAATAAATACAACAAGAAAGAAGAAACGAACAGTATATGATCGACTCGTCCCGAAAGCGGCAACGATTCGCCATTTTCAACATAACCTCGAACCGCCAAACGCCAGAAGGACGAAGCTAGCGTCGAGACTCAAACCGCAGAAAAATATAGAAGACGTTTAATTTTATTAATAGATAAAGACGGGGAAAAACATATTTAATTATTTAGGAATAACAAACGATGGTCTTCAAAAAAGTTTGGATAAAGCTAGTAAAGTCAGGCGAAATTCGACCAAGTGGGGAATAAAGTTGAGAAAAACTGCGAACCAAATGAACACTTCTAAATATTTCGTGAGAGCGAAAAAGGGCGATTTACCGGCGGATAAGAATAGGGTCTGGACGCCCCGATAGAAATGACTGCCGATATTTACTCCGGCGGTTTTATCCATTTAGAAAAATAAGGCGACGACCTTCGTATCGAAAATAAGTAAACTTTGTATTTTCGGTCAAAGATTATATTTGTCCAACCGACCGTTATCTGCGGAGGTTCCCGCAGTTCGTAGAAAATCACGGGAGACATAAATATCCAAAAAAAAAAATTATAAAAATCGTTTAAACCAATCGCAGCAGACGGGCGGTAACGGCCCTTGCGCAAACCCAAAAATTTTTCGCGGGCGATATGTTCAGATACCGTCGTGTACAATTGTCTTCTCTATTAGCAATTCGTTAAAATATTTGCTTTCCATTACGGTTTTTTCGGCTATTTTCTAACAAAACGAAACCACCTACGCTTTTCCTCTGTTTCGGGTGTCGGCAACAAAGAACCGCTTACTTCATATTATAGAAATTGACGTAATAGACCAAAACAAAAACTTTGCAACTGGATATATATTTTGAATCTGTAAGCCGAAATACCCTCGATGAGGATGATCTATTTTGGCGCCTTTTTTTGCAAAACACGAACTGTAAGGGGAAAACGGCAATCGCCGAAAATCGCGAATTTGTCCACTTCTCGAAAGCTTATTGGTGAATTTTAGTTTCTTGAGTTTCTAAGTATGGTTAAAATATATCCTTAAACTAAAACTGTGCAAAAAAAAGGGTTTAAATCTGATGTAAATCTAAAATAAAAACGCCGTAGAAATCCATGTAAATTGACAGGGATCGGTCCGTAGACTTTACGTCGCAAACTTTGCCCTCGAATATCTCGGCACGTACCGACACGACGTCGGCCTCGATTTCTACGCATGTGCAGAAAGTCATTTATTGGTCGAGCAACTGCTTTAAATAATTAAACTTTCACCGCAGAAAATTTCCAGTTCATATTCCGATTTGAACTAGAAGTAAAGGAAAATGTTCCACCAGTTTCTAGAAAAGACTACAAATTTAAATTTAAAATACTCGAAACTAATCTAAACATATTTTAAAATATTATATTTTTCATTACACTTCTTAATTATTTATTTTGTATTAGTAACAAACGCATGCATCCGGCATTTTTCACCGGCCGAAAAGGAGGATAAACGTTAAAATGAAAACCACATTGAAAAATTGGAAATTTTAGCCTAATGTCGTGTATCACTGAGTGTCGAGAAGATCGAATCGGGAGAAGAGTAGAAGAGTAGTCCATTCGGGTTTCGTGATAGCCTATATTTTCCTCTGAGTCCCGCACAACAAGCCAGAAAAGCTTGGGGTACAGCGACCATTTCCACGAAACAATTCCAGAAGCGAAACTGGAACTGTCGGAACTGATCCACACCTATCTATCTATTCGCACATCTATTTTAGTCACTAAACTACAATTCTACTGTCTGCACCCAGAGAGTTCTGCTCGTGAGTTAATTTTGGCCATCACTCCATGGCGGATAACTTCAGGCTCTGGTCGTCTCGAGGGGCCTCAAAAATTACATAGCAGAACGATAATATGCTTTCAAAAATTCAGAAAACGTTTAAAAGATGTATATTATAAAGAAAAAAATTATTATTTAAAGATTTTATTATCTTTTTAATATAAAAAAAACACTTTTACATAAAGGGCCTTATAACAAATGCCTAGTACCTTAAAGGATTATAATACGCTACTGCCATCATTCCTACTTTGTATAGTGTAGATAAGTGGTAGTTCCTTTGTATTTGATTATTTTATAATTTTAAAAAATGAAATAACGAATGATTATAGAAATTTATACATTGTACAGTACATCTAGTTTTATTCGTTACTCGTAAGATAGTCGGAAATACGTAACAGACATTTGTAAACAAATACACGCCTGCTGAGTATTTGCGAGCGGTCTTTTTTCTTTCACGAAAATGATTCTGAACTCGAGTTTGGAATCCTATTCGTAAAAGAACAATAGCCCTGAAAGACTGCAGAATATGATTTGATAAATAAATTAAGA